GAGGGAGGAGCGGCGCTTGGCGGAACAGCGGGAGAGGATGCAGCAGGAGTATGAGGCAGAACAGAGAAAACAGCGAGAGAAAGAGGAGGAGGTAGGAAAGAGATGGATGGGACACTTCAAAGAGAAACAAACTACATGTAAATTATGAACAATAGTACAGAAAACTAGAAAGATACGTAACATTTGCAAACTTAGGAAATGCATAATGTTTACCTTCTGTTCTGCTCCGTTGATTCTTACTGAAACACAGGAGTCTAAATCCCTCCTGCTATAAAATTGCAACATGATGTAACCCGACACTAGTTACCATGGTGACAGATGTGTGGTTCAGGTCATTGACCTTATTGGTTTGGAGAAGAAGAAGAGGAAACAGAAAAAAACAATATGTTCATAAAAAGTATGATATAATTAAATGTGGCACTGTGTGGCGTAAAAGGCAGAGTGTCTGGATCAAAATCAAGAGCTTAGAGATCTCAGATTTCCATGAAATATTTAGATCTTGTGTGATGGTGACTTGTGTTCTCTTCTCATTGACCATGGTGTATACAAGTCTTTCTTTATTGATCAAGGGAAACAACACCAGCTGTTAGCAGTCAAGGAGGTCATGTAATGAAAAAAACACCAGGTCCTGTGAAAATGGCGCTACCAGATGTAGATGACTGATTAATGACTTTCTGACTGAACCAATCCATTACAACCTGACCTAAAGTTAAGGCCATACAAAAACAAAGACACACACACGGACACACACAGACATACCAAAAACAATACTTTGGAATCCATATTTCATGGCAGTAGTGAATACTGTAAGTCCAGTTATGTTCACGAATGCTTTATTTCACAAGATGGAGCAATTTGGGAGTTCACGAGGTCTCTGACTTCGCGAGTCGGTAATTTTTTTACAAGGCGCTACATGTCTGCAAATTTACCGACAGTCAATAATTTTTTTCCGCGTGAGGTACGCGCGAGGTACGCGCGGTTAGAACATGGTTCCGTGGACATGACACTGTCCAAACTGAAGCCCATCCATGCGAACTGGGTCCTGGGTGCACTGGACAGTATCGCCAACAACATGGACATCGCCAGGGGATGGGACCGCACAGAGATCTGAGCCGCTGTGAGCCGACGGGCGCGTGAGTAAAAACAAAAGCCGCCGCCATGTTTGAACTTTCGACTCGCAAATGTTGCCAACTTCTGCACAGTAGTCCTCGCGTAAATCATCATTAGTTGTGAAATTTTAGCGCACTGTTCTATAAATTTGCTGTTTGGGAACATTTAAAACCATGTTGATTCAACAAGTTGTAAAAAAAAATCAAAAAAAAAAATCAAGCAAACTTAGACCATTAGACAACGCGCTATGTAAACAAAGGCCGCCATGTTGGATTTCTTGTGATTTGTCGATCGGCTCGGCGGTTACTCGGCGGTAGATTTTCATGCAATTCTTTCCCTGTAAATACCTGTTAATGTTGTATATGTAGCGTAAATTTTCTTGGGATGTATGGAAATCTTGTGAAATGATTTTTTTTGCGTGTAGCTTTGGTGAGTAATGTTGAACCTGTGTAGTTTGATCTTTCGAGGTATAGACAAAGACCCTGACGCTATCCCGCTTGGTCCGCTTGGTTCTATTTTTTTCTGATTTTCTGTACCGTAAATAATTCTGCTTTACGTGGCTTGTACACAACAACTTTTTACAGATGTATGTTGTAAAATTACGTATGTACGATGTTGCACATGTTTACAGCTGTTTACCGCTACGTTATCGCTGAACTAGCGTTCTTGTTAAAACTGATGTTGTCTAGTCGGCTTTGTAAACTTTTACCGTTCTTCGCAAGAAACACTTGTATTACTAGTAACAAAATAATGACTCCGTGAACCATATGCTCATTGAATAAAGTTTATTTGATTCTGAAAAGAAGTCTGCTGTTATTCTTCGAGTCTTGTCATTTACTAGTACTACGTAATGTAGAAGTTGTTAGACGTATAGTACACAGTAAATAGAGTTGCGATGCACGATGTGTGTGGGAGGGGGGTGGTACGTACGGAATGGGTTCGCGAGGAGGTGAGTTCACGAGAAGAGCGTCTTCGTGAAAACCGTGAACTTAAAGATTTCGTAATCAAAAATGGACTTACAGTACTGTATTATCACCCAGCTGACGAGTGTTCTGTTTGTAGGTGAAGAGAAAGAATGAAGAGTTGAAGAGGCTGGCAGAGGAGAGAAGGCAGGAGGTGGAGAGGAAGAAGAAGGAGGAAGATGAGAAACACGACCAGGAAAGAAGACGGCAGCTGGATGAGGAGGACAGGAGACGGAGGGAGGAGCAACAAGTGAGAATGGTTCTTTTGTCTGGCTCATCCTGGAAATAGTGGATCAGTGTAATCGAAGATGGAAAAAATTGGGGTGAAAAAACATGAAAAAAAGATGTAACTAGTAACATTTGCAAAGCAAATGTATACCATAATGTTTACCTTCACCTGGTCTAGCCCAATGAACAACAGTTACTACACTGTTTATACTCAAAGTCAAATACTTTCAAATGTATGGTGAGCAGGCTGTACATCTCTGTTCTGCTGCATAATGTAACCTCACCACAGGGTGTTGCTACAGTCCCAGCTGTTACCATGGTAACAGACGTCTGGCCCAAGTCATTGACTGTACATGTATTTGTTTGGAACTGATTGAAACTGAGAAAAAAACAATATGTTTTCCTTCTGTAAAGGTAAACATAATTAAACTAAGCTAAGTGTACTGGCAAACCTTTTCCCTCAAAATGCAGGGAATAGCATTTCAGAGGATGAAGATTTCAAAATTTACAATACGCCTGTTTGTTTTGTTTTTTCCTGGTTGATCATGAAAGTCTGCCTATTGTTACAGAGACAGCGAGTGTCATCCCCTCCCATCCCTACTCTGAGGAAGAATGAAGAAGAAAGCCAGCAGCCACCACCAGACTCCTACAGGGTACAGGACACACTTTCATCGTACATCATAAATTTTAGTAAAGCAGTTACTGTATCTCTTGCCATTTTCATTGATCCCATACCACATTTGATTTTGGGGTTCAGTTCAGTTGACAATCAGCTGTCAAGGAGATCATGATTTTGGGGTTCAGTTTACCTTAAGTTAACATGTGTTTCAAAGTTTGCCCCTTCCTTGAAAAGAATAATCGGACATAATAATTGGCTATGTGTGACAGTGTCTGTTATGTTCCTTTCCTGACTTTAGGAGAGACCGCCCCAGTCCCCACCTGTACCTGCGGTCAGAACCAGGGAGAGAGCACCAGGTCAGTTGGAGTCTTGGTCTTGATATATATATATGTTTATTTAGAATGATACAAGATATTGCACACAATGGAATCAAAACTGACACGCTGTCATCCAAAGATGTCACAATGTCATGCAATATCCCAAATTAGGTTCCAATAACTTTCAACAATGAAAGTGGTGTCTGAGTAATAATCCTGAAGTCAACTATCAAAGGTGGAGTTAGGCATTGTAACTCTGGAAGGAGCATTGTTGTGGGTGATTCTGATACAATGTAGTTGTTTGTAGTTGATGCTCTCACAGGCGCCACCTATTAACAGAAGATGGTACTACAGGACTTATGTCATGGCATGGTCAGTGGTATAGGAGTGGCATGTCAAGCATGGTAGCCCTGAAGAAAATGTGCCCAATATCAGTCTGAGAGTGTTTGCCTTTTGTCTTTTCCCAAGCTTACCAAGGACCAGCCAAGGAGCTTCTGTCCCCAACTCCTTCTACACCTGGTGTGATTTCATGAGAATGTTTTGTTTTGTGTCTACTTGTAGTGCATGGTTGTCACCCTCTGTGTTGGTGTAACAGTCAAAGGCACCCAATACAATGATTATTATGGAATAGGGCAGTAAAGCTTGACTTTCCTTCAATTTTCTGGTCATTTTTTCAATGTACATGATGTAAGTTGAATCAACCCTATGCTACGCACTAAGATTTACTGTATGATCATGTTTTTATCAGTGGCTTTCATAGTAATATATGGAATGAGATTTTGAGATTATTGTTGCTTTGAGAATGATATTATTTCTTGATTCAACAATGTCTCAGTCTGTACATTGTAACATTACTGTTGGTCTCTGAATTGTTACTCAAGCTTGGGTATTATATCCTTGGTTACAAGCCTACCTGGAGCGAGTGCGTGAGCTCATTATTCCACCAGCCGTATTCGATACAGATTCGGAACTTGGAACAGGGACTCCGTCAGTCCATTCCAGGGAACACTCTGGTATAAAAGGGAGACAGGATAACGGGAGGAGTGGTATTGTGGATGGCAAGTAGTCGATGGCAGTTCATCTGATACCATGAGTCAAAATCTACTACTGGTAGTATTCATAAGGCCTGGTTGATGTTGTAGAGTACAACAATGGTGCATGGGAGTTCAGGATACTGTCACTTACATGTAGTGCTCTAGCCGGCCTGAAATTTTTTGTCCGTCATCTCAATTTTGTTTGAATTAGCATCATGTCGAGCAACAAAGGCCGACAATCCAAGGCTCTGTATGCATGCTCCCACAGGAAAATTTCAAAATCTTGACCGCCTGAAACAACTTTCAGCATTTTGAGGGGCATATTTGCTGGTATCTGTATCGGTATAGCCGGTGTAACCACCATTCGGTGTAACACACCAGCTTCGCAGGCACATGTATATCACACAGAATGACGGAAAGACAGACGATGGCTAGAACACTGCTGTCACCCAGGCACAAAGATATTCTCTCTTCACTTAGGTTTTTAAAAGGCAGAAGTTTATAATGTGACAGTTGATAAAGCCTTAACTTTGTTCCCCACAGGAAATCCTCATGATGTGATTGACCAACTGTCAGCCATGAGAGCTCAGCTCCAGAGTGAACAGAGAAGGGTACAGAGTCAACTGGACCATGCTAAGGTAAGGCATGCTGTACTAGTAGTAACAGTGTCCGGATTAAATTTGGACAGTCCACTTTAAATCCGGACTACTTCCCATATCTCAGCAACCTTACATCTAGATGGGCTAATGTTGTTAACTACAGGTAAAAATGGTGTAAGAAATACATTGTACATGTATGTAGCAGCCATCGAGGACCCCTTAGGAGTTAACCCAATTCTGCAGAATTCTACAGAATGACATCCAACTGTAATATTATCAGTCTGAAAGAGAACAGAATTATGAAAAAAAAAAAACTTTTTATCTGGCATATTAATCATGCAGATTTTCTGAATGGCTTCTGTCTTTACTTTCTTTCTGTTGATTTTTCTTCCTTCTCACTCTCTGTCTTGAGTCAGTGGTTACTGTGGCTCATGTCTTCAAAGGTAGGAAATCTTCCTCAGTAATAATCTTATTCAGACTATCTTATTCAGACAGCATCTGCCAACATGCACTCTTGCATAATATATTTGTTTTTGTTTTGCCACCCTGAAACTGCAATTTGGAATTACTTCATGATACTACTAAGAGTAGTCTCCCCTTCCTCCAAACAGTTTTAACACTGTTACTTTTACCATGCCCAAATCTTCACAGGCAATAAAATATGCTTGAAACATTTTTGTAAATAAAGATGATAAGGGTATAGCATGTATAATTTGTTGAGTGCTGAAGTTACTCAGAAGTGAAATAAGGAACTGTACCTCGTCAGATAAAGAGATCTAATATCTATTTTCACTTTATTTATATCTGATATTGATTCAATATGTTACATGTATGTCACAAATCATCAATCACATGTGACTGCTTCAATCGTAGTACATTTATTTTGTGTATGCCAATATCTCGGAGGATATCTGAGGCTTATCTATAATTGCATTTATCTGTGTGTTCTACAGTTTGACAGCGTGCCAGTACCCAAACCACAGCCTCAACCGTAAGTTCTCTTACATTGGGTTTTAACTAATTTTAATCCAATGTGATATACTTGTAGCAACTGTGGTTATCTTTTCCAGTTTGACTTTGGTTATGAAGTGTTTTTAAGACAGAACAATAATTTGTATTGTCAATATACATGTATGTTTAGGATCATAGATTTGTAGATCTTGTTCTTTAAAGCCCCTGTCACACATTCAGAACCTTCTGAACAAAGTTGCCTGATTCAGAAGTTTAGGAGCAGTCTGACCAGATTTATGCCTACCTTTCTATACGAGGGGAATCAAATTTGAGTTAAATTTAAGTCAAATTTGACTGCCAACCACGCCTCGACCTACCCCAGAGCACCAGCCAACCATGGCAAACCTCGGGTCCACATGCAAATGTCTTATTTTTATATAATATAATAAATAAGAAGAAGAAGAACTTTATTGCACGACAAATGCACATGGTACATTGTATGGCAAACTACATAAAATAAGTGTGTTGAATAAGACCTAATGTCGAATAAAACCTGACATAACATATCTATATCATAATTATTCAAATAATAAGGGATATCACAAGTCGTTGATAAAGTGTTACAATCAAGTGGGCTAATCACAAGTTTTGGTATTTTTTCTAATAGCAAAGCATTCCTTTATATATCTACCTATTTTTGCGTTGTGGGGACCGTTACATGCAAAGATATATTCAAATCTGTCTCCAACATCGAGACTCTTAAAATCTATGGTACGAGAAATGTAAATATTTGCCGAACACCAGCCGACCTTGCTCCTGACCTACTTCTAACCATGGTTAGGGGGGAGTTCGGCTAGTGTTCAGGAGACCATATTCGGCTGTATGCTTTACATTTTAAATTGGAAATGTACGACACAAACTGTTGAAAGTGTCTTGTTTGATCTGTAGGCGGCGAGAGCTGACAGGAGTGGATATTTTCGACATGGCGCGGAACCGAAGCCGTGTCGCTGTCCGTAGACCAGTCCAGACGGCGGACACCACTGCCGATCCCAGGACCTTGGAAGACTTCAACGATCTCAAACACAGAAGTAAGCAGGTCTTCTTTTCTATAAGAGGTGCCCAGTGCAAGCTGCAAGTTTCTGTATGAACAACTATGAAAGAGGTGCTAGTGTCACTGTCCACAGGTAAACAAGATTAATTTCACATTTTCCCGCTGTAGAAAACACGGTATCGCGGCAGGAGTTTCGATCGCGGTACCCCGATGACCCCTACACGAGCCGCGCGCTGGAGGCCCAACAACATGCCATGTTACAGCAACAGGAGGAGAAACTGGGCAAACTCAGGCAGGGTAAGTCTCAGTCTACACATATGTAAATCTTTTATAGAGGCCCTGAATCTAGACACATGATGTAAACAGCTAGCAAAAGACAATCTAGTTGTGTACATAATCTCATAAAAATATTGCACAGCAAAAACTCATATATACCTGTTTTAAGAAGAGGGAAGAAACACGTAAACTATTATATATTAATATCAATGTTAGCCTTATACATGTATGTTCATCATCTGTATGCAATACATTGTAAATGTAGTGAAGCACCTTTTTAGCGTCAATATGACTCATGTGAAACTACTTATGTATGTACTGCGCTTAGCCCTCATGGCCATGAATGTGCAAATAAACATCGTCATTGTCAAAATAAACATCTTCATTCACTTGGCATTCGGGAGTACAAAACAATAGTGAATCAAAAAGCATCAAATGCAATTTCAGGGAGGCAAAACTGGATTCTTAAAGTCAATTTTTTAATGTTACAGTTAAATATCCCATAGCATACTGATATCTGTAAAGCAAAATTGTGTGTCACTCACAGAACATGGTTGCTTGTTTTGTACCATAGGCTGGTTCTAGCTATTCATGGGAGGTATCCCCAAAAAAAGGAGAGAGATGCCTTACATAGCAATTTTTGGAGGGCTATTTTGAATGCTTCAAGTATGAAATAATGACGAAAAATGGGCTAAGAAATGGCAGTAAATGTTACTAACAGATAGATTTACTTGTCCAGAATATCAGATGAAATTGCATTGGATGCCTTTCACTGGAAGTCTCTTCCCTAGTGAAATAAATCTCCATTTCATACATGTACCGTTACGTAAACTGATTGTTGATTTTTTTCCGTTTTTCTCCCCACACAGGTGGGCTGGCTAGTGAGATGCCTAACATGAATCCCCGTGACTTGGGCCTGCAGAGGGGGATGATCTGAGCAGGAAGTCTCTACTGGACTCAGAGAGTGCCTTCATAGGTAAGTCCCAAACACCTGGAAGTAATTTCAGCAGAGTCAGCATACATTGGAAGAATGACATCTTTTTTATTCACAGAAACCATGTTCATACAGTGTACATGGCCAGTGTTCTAGCCAGCCTGAATTTTTTTCCTTCATCTCAATTTTGTTTGAAGTTGCATCAGGACTGGTTTGAATGCCAAAGGCATGATGCATTGCAATGGGGTCCTGGGACTTTTTTGAAATCTTGACGCTCTTACAATGCTATTTCCTGCATTTTGAGGGGCAAATTTTGGTGTTAGACTTTGTTCGGTTTAAAGACATTTCTTTCTACAGAGTTACATGCTGATTTTTGTCCATCAAACACAACGGATTGGGCAAAGTTTTAGTCTGTCATGTGAGATGCCAAATTCCTTCAAATGGCAGAAAGACAGACCCTTTCTAGAACACTGGTCATCACAATCTGACTGTGTGTTAGATACATAATAGTAGTTGTAGTAAAAAAAATGGCATTCCAGGTTTCTAATGCAATACACGCAGGTAAAAAACATTGGAGATTTCTTGACCAAAATATGTTTCATTGGGGAACAGTAACATTACTCATTAGCTTACAGTATGACTGTCCATCAGAATGTTTCAGATAGAGGCATTATACATGTATGCGCAAAACTAGAGCAGCAGAGATTCCTGTATTTGTCACGCCACATTATGTTCATCTCTGTAACAGAACACACATGTAGCTTCAGTAGGGCTCCTAATTGCTCCTTTATTGCCAAATTACAACATCTGGGTTCCAGAAAAAAACCTACAATGGCAAATGGCTGTACATACTGAGTAGTCCTCATTGCCCTGCCCTACTAGATACAGATTTTGTGCTCAATCAATTGGTAATCATTGACATCCCTGAGTGGGCATGGCAGTGAGTTGAAGGCATCTAATGAATTTCAGGGCAGCGGAACAAAAACATATCCAGGATGAGGAAATCTGTCTGATGTTGACATTTGCTGCCATTTCTTAGCACTTGAAAAAAAACCTAAAACAAGCTACATTGTACATGTATGTGAGGAGTCTCTTCATTTTTTTGGATACCACCCATAAATAGCTAGAACCAGCCAACGATACAAAACAAGCAACAGTTACTGTTTTCCATCAGCGACATTGCATTTTTACCTCACTGTATATTAGTATGCTATGGCATAGGATTGATTCAACTTACTACATTTAAAGACTGACCAGTAAATTGACTTTGAAAATCCAGTTTTGTCGCCCTGGAATTGCATTTGACGCCTTTAATTACGAATCCCATGAAACTCTACATTTCTGCTGAGCACGTAAAACAAATAGAAATTATTAAATTAAAGTCCCCCAAGTCAGAAGCTTTAGTGCAGAACAGTGCATAATAATAACCCCTCAGGTTTAGGCATCTCATGTGCACACAGGAACTGTCAAAGCGCTTCAGAGTCACAGTTTATTGAAGGCTCGGTACACTTTTTTTGAAGCAGCTCAGAGAATTGTGAGCATAAGTGTACTCCTCGTGACAATACTAGTACATTGTATGCTCACCAAGCAGAGGCATGGCTGACAAATGTATCTACCGGTACATGTAGTAGCCAATAAATTGTTCCTATGAAAGGAATCAAAATTTATGCAAACTTGATTAAACATAATACTAAGTAAATTTGTCAATATGACAGGTATCGGGACACAATTTTTCATACAAATACATGCAGATGTTTATTTTAGGTCCTTTAAAACAAAATTTGTGAGCAGCAGACAGTTTGAAGCTGCAAAATGGAAGGCTTTATTGGGTATTTGTCATGTGCTAAATAATTATTCTTATGTGTGCCAGTGCAATGGCCAAGTGGGTAGAGTGTTTGCCTTGCATTCAGAGGGTCGTGAGTCATACCAAAGACTTTAAACTAAATATTACTGCTTTCTCTGCTTGGCACTCAGTGTTTGGGAAAGAGTATGGTAGTTAATCACACACCACTACCAGTGGACTAGCCCCTTGCTGTAGCGATTGCACTTGTGTGTGGCCTAAGGGCTATAGAAACAGAGATGAGGACTGCCCCATACATGCACCACATGACGTTAACTAACTTTACTAATCTTCCTATGTTTGTTTTTTTCCGAAATAATTTGATTATGATAATCATATTGCACGGTCATAATCGACCACTATAATAAGATACCAATGGAATCCAATCAAACACAGACCTGAACGGAGAGGCGAGTTTCCCACCAGAGTTGGCGGACGAACGGAAGGGTCCAACTGCCCGTGAGAGGAGGAGGCAGCAACGCAAGTCACCCTCCCCCCATCTAGTAAGTGGAATGCCCCACTGAAGTTTTGTACTGAGACAATAGACCAGTTTGCCTTTCACAGATCGCATGAACTATTTACATCACAGGGGAGACATTTCGAATAGAATGCCGTTCTAAAACTCGGAAGTTGAACGTGGCTTTCAGAATACAAATTTTTCTGTACAGTTATATCTATTAGTAGATGTTGAAAACTGGGAAACTTATCTTGTATACAATTATAGAGAGGATTATTAACATTTCTATGTTGTATACATTGTACATCATGACTTTTGTATGTATGATACTGTCTTGAACATGCTCCCCAAAAAACATACTGCCATACAGGATGCAGAAGTGTGATACAATATTGATATGACCGTATTTTGTGTTATCTAGCTGGAGAAAGATGAGCTGAGTTTGGGAGGAGACTCGTACCTGGATGCCCAGCCTGGTCCCTCGGGTAACCAACCCGGGAACTTTGGCTCCCTCACCAGCCTGGATGTGGACAGGGTCGCCGCTAAAAATGAGGAAAGACTGAGGAGGCTGAAAACCTTACAAGGTACAAATGTTTGATGAATGGTATACTCTGTTGCATCTATGACAGTGTTTCTGGGAATAACAAGCCATTTTTTTGTCAAGGCCAAGAAAAAAAATTGGTTTCCGGTTTTCAGACTGACCTTAGAAAAAACTGCAGACCCTGGCGTTTTTTGTGTGAACCACCGCAAGGAAAAAAATTTTCGGAGCTGATCAACCTTTTTCTAGCTCAATGCTAGATGACAACTGAGTGATGAAACATTGTATAATCAGTTTTCCATCAATGATATTGAAAATATGTGTTACTTTGTTAAACTGTACTTTATCAGTTGGATCACTAAGAGTAAGAGATCTCCAAAGTCTAAAAAAAAAGATATTCCCTACCTACCCACCCTAATTTTTTCAGGACTGAAACAGGAAATTAACACAACATTTATAGGCCTTAACAAAAAAAATAGACTAGCTCTGTTTTTGGTGCACCACTTGCAAGGCCATGAAATTCTCAATCTGACAACTGAATTTCAAACCTGAAACATTTCATTCACTGTGTCCTTTACATAAGACTCTTGCCACAACCATTAGAGAAACATTTACAAGGAAGCTTGTTCCATAGTCATGTCCATAGTCATGTAGTTCTAGGAAAGAAGCAAGAGGCTACCCTAAGGTTCTACCTTCTGCATTCTTGCAGCATCACATGACAGTTGGACTGAAATTAACCCTCCCTTCAGCATTCATAGCTCTAACCTCCAGTCGACTAATAATCCACTCAGTCCATCATTTGTCCTCTGATATCTCCTCTTCAACAGCCTGGCCCAATAGATAACGTTCATCCTCAATTCTTTTTCATTTGGACGTCGCTGAAGTTTTTCAGCCGGAAGGCGAGTTTTTATTGGACAAAGCGCTAATGTATTGCTCGTAGGACAATGTTCCTCATTGATCTAGCATCTTTTAACTGACGGACATTTGTCTGGCCTTGCTGTAACACAATATCTGAAGCCTTCACACCCAACACTGGTGAACTTACCTGTTATCTGTTGTCTCAGTTCTGTTGTGTGTAAGACCACAAAGGCTTGGTGAAGACAAGTGCTTCTTCTGACGAATGAGTGTTCGCACAACCAGGTCATTCAACATGCAAAATGTGAAAGAACTTCTTTAACCTCTGTTAGGAAGTACAGTGTACCTGGTACCCTTTAAATTTACAAATGTGTTACCCATAAATTACCCCAAAAGTCAGATGTCAAAGCGATATTATGTAAGATTTTTGTGCCAGCTGTAAATATGAATAATTGAAAGTTTATCATCTACATTGTCATTTTTAATAACTTTCAAGATATTAGCATTGCTGTTTTGCTTTTCCGGCAACTCAGTGCAGAATGAGAGTAAGTTGTGGCAGCCTGCTGTATTTTTTGGAGGCTCCTACAAAGAATGTACATGTAGACAGACAGATGACTACAGACATGGTCGCGATCCGCGCTAGCGCTGAGGAATTGGCAGTTTTCCAACACGTTTCTGCGGCGCAACGACATTGATCTTTTTCTCCCCAAATGTCATTATAAACCCACATAGGCTTATAGTGCAAGAAAATGTGTAAATTTTAAACAATGATGTTTAAAATAGTGAAAATCTTACATAATGTTGCTTTAAGTTTTATAGTATCTTCTTATAACTGTCTTACTGAGGATTTTAACTATCCCTTTTAGGAGATGACCAGTCCATCGGTGACCCAGACGACATTCTGCAGAGGTTCATGAATCAACAGAAGCACAACCGGCCGTCCTCCACCACCACCATGGACACAGAGGCCTGGCTCAGGCCTGGCACGGGCAACGCATCGCTACTGTCCAAAACGTAGCTCCACATTTGCATCACTACTATCCAAAACATAGCAGCACATTCACACAGGCAGCACGATAGCAGACTGTACTGTACCTGCACGAAATACGTTATTGTGTTATGCATAGAACAGCAGAACGTCTCATATAAGGTCGTATGTGCATATAAGGTTACCACTCCATTTGTAGTTTCCAAATGTTACATGTATGTCGGAAAAAATATCCTCTGCAACAGCTAAAATTCTGATGCAATGTTGACCAAACATCCAACGAAAACCATGGAAAATCAGGGTTTCATGCAGATCCAGTACGTTCTGCCGACGTGCTACATGTCACTACTGTCCAAAACATAGCTCCACATTGACATCAATGGATACAGATTCCTGGCTTAGGTTCGCAGCTTTGTACCACTTTGAATACATAGACCTGGCCCAGCACTAGGTTTACCTGCTGACCAGTTCATGCACCTCACTACTGTTCAGGCCATTGCACCACATGCATGTGCTGATATCGTGTACTGTATGTGATCAATGGAATCTTGTCCACTTGCATCATAAAGAAGTGCTTATTGTTGTACAGAGAACTTACATATGGTATGTATGTGAATATATAATAGATGTACATAAATATTAAGTGTTTGTGCCTACATTGTAGCATTTATGTTGTGTGTTTAATCTTTGGTACTTACTGTATGTACATTTGTAGCATGTACATCTGGTTCTTACTCCTTTTACTCTCTGATATTAACTGTCACAGATGCAGCATGAATAAACAATGTACCCAAGAAATCATTTTAAATTTAAAATATGACTTAACTGTAAGGAGATACCTTTCTTTAGGTGAAGTTAGTAGTGTAATACCAGATACATATTGCTACATATTACCCAGTCAGTGAGAAGTCAGCATTAAAAACTTAGCAAGGGCTATGAATGTATTGTTCATAGTAAAAAAATGATCACAGTGCTTTGTATATGATTTAGCTGTAATTGTAAGGCAAAAAAGTGTGAAATTATGTTCCTCGTGTCCAGAGATTTTATTGAATCAGAATTATATGAATCAAAAGCCATACTAGTATATAAGATGTTGTGATGAATTTTTTTTTCTATTTGTTCCTGTACATCTGCAATCAAGACTAGTATTGAAATGCCTGCAGTGGTGTACAATGTATGTGTACATGGATATTTGTGAATGTTGACACTGTGTTAATAGGCTGTTTGAAGTAAAAACTTTTGTTCCAACACAAAGGAATTATTCTCACCTGGAGCTTTTGACCATCACTCTTGTCTTCTTCAATAGACTGACCCAGTGAGACATGTCAAATGGCTTCTCTGAAGTGTGACGTCAACACTGGGTCAGTCTATTGAGGAAAACCTGAGTGACTGGTTGAAAGCTGTACATGTAGGTGAGAACAACTCTTTGTGTTAAAACAAAAGACTTTAGCTTGAAACTACCAATGACACAGATGAACTTTCATGATAGTGCCTGTTAATATTTGTGTGTGGTGATCGTATTGTAGCATAAGATTTACTTCTCAGTATGTACATAAGAAGGCATAGATTGTATATATTTCACCTACTTCTCTGTAATAATTCACCAATAAGAATATGAAATGGGGACCAATTGAAGTTAAAAGTAGGTTAATATGATTACTGTGTTAGTGTGTCAGTGGTTCAGTTGTCCTTGCAGCTCAATCTTGTAAATTATGTGATATACATATTGCTGCATTACATTTTATTCTAATGTTCACAAATTTTGTTGTGTCATCAATGTGTATTCTATTCAATACAAGTGAGAAACGAACAGCTTGTACCCTGTTATTTAACTAAATGGTAACACATTCAGAACCTTCCCCCGAACACCAGCCGACCAAGGTTGGCTGAAGCCCCTGTCACACATTCAGAACCTTCCCCCGAACACCAGCCGACCAAGGTTGGCTGAAGCCCCTGTCACACATTCAGAACTTTCGGCCATTTCCAAAGAAGAAAAAGTTTTCAACCATACTGTAAATCGTACAAAACTTGCAAAATTAGCAAATATATACCGTAAGTTGGAAAAAAAGATATTTGAAAACGATACCAATGTCTTAGAATGCCAAAATCAAACGCAAAAGACAAAAATGTGAAGAAATGAATTTGAAGAGTATTCGCCATACCATACTCTATGTCATTTGTTCAACCTTCATGGCCACGTAGATTTCATAATGAAAGCAACTTTTTGGCAAACTATTTTATTCGCACGCTCGCATCAATTTTGGAGTTCCTAAAGATGTCACCCATATAATCAAATCAACGTGGCCTAACTCCCATCCCCTTTTCAGCACACTGAAAGGAAAGAATCTGTATGTCAAGGATTCTCTCGATCGATCCCGAGTGTCCATCACAATTATTAGTTTAACCAATGAGAGAAGGGAAATTAGCGGTTCGACCAATGAGAGAGTGACTGCATTTCCGTCAAATATTTGCATTTCTATGTTTTGACGGAGGTGGGCGGGGCTTCGGGATCGGTTGAAGAAACAAAGCAAACAACACAATCGAACAGGTGGTTATAATTAAAAGAAACAGGTGAAGCTATCCACATGTTTACGGGGGTATAAAATCGCGTGAACGAGAGAAACCACGCACTACAGAAGGAGAACACAGGCAGAGAGAGACGGTTACAGCAGACATAATTGATACAAAGGCAGAACTAACTTCATGTATTGTGGGGGAAGGAAGGACAAGCACACATTCAACCATGGATATCCAATCACTTTGGACCTCAGCTCCATGGAGGACGTCACACAAACGCCGTCCTCACACTGACCTCGCCAAACCGCCCGGACAAGCCGCATACCTCACATTGATATTGGTCCACGCATCCCACGTTCCTTCGAAACTGTGCCCAAGTACAAGTCGGCCAAGCTAGAATCCTCGGTATGTTGTATTACTTTATGTTGTATCCTGTTTTCATGGGATCCCTTGGAAATCAGCCGTCCCTTTTGGCTGAAGAGACACCCATGCTAAAAATATAAATAAATAGATAAACTAGAAGGGTAACATTTGCAAAGCAAATGCATAATGTTTACCTTCGCATCTAGTATGCTCTGTTAATTCTTACTCAAACACATTCATATATATGGTCAGACAGGAGTCTAAATCCCTCCTGCTATAAAATTGCAACATGATGTAACCCAACACTAGTTACCATGGTGACAGACGTATGGTTCAGGTCATTGACCTTTTTGGTTTGGAGAAGAGGAAGAAGAAACAGAGCAAAAACAGTATGAAGTAAACAAAATGAATTAAAAAGATGCAAGCTGGCGTCCTATCGATGTCAGAGGTCAACGATCTGCTTGCTCATTGCCCCTGCCTTGTTGTTTTTCTACCTCCATGCCGCTTCCAAAAGAAACCCTTGATTTAGAAAAACTAGCAGAGCCAGCTATGGAGCAAAGAGCAGCACCTTAGTATTTCTCTTCCAGCTTTTCGGGTAGCATGTAAAGTTTTATCTTCTGCAAAATCACAGGATTCTGAGGCAACATCCATTTTAGTCGTGGCGAATTCCCAGCGGGAAAAGATAGCACAGGTCCTGCATTTTGAAGTTCAATGACAATAATCGATGTCATTTCAAAATGCATTGGCTTTGTTTTACAACTAGAACTGAACGTGATAACAGGCACGGAATTTCCTAGAAGAATTATACACACTTGTATTGTAAAAGGTCGCCATAGTAAATTTCCTCTTTATATATCTAGTCTCTCTTCTTCACAGACTTGGCGGTTGCAATAATTGGATTAAAAGACCGTGACTCCCATTTCATGCTCTTCCTGCGCCAAACAATGCGAGAAATAATGTCTGATTGGTAGATTTGATTTTCCATTTATCTTTGTTGACATCTCCAATAGCCTTTCATGTAGGAGGAGATAGTAGGATTTTATCTTTATCGACCATTACATGTTATAACACATCAGATTGCTTGGCAAGATCAATCATCTTTATCAAGGAACTGGGATCGTCGCTGTACGTATCTTACTCCTTCGAGACTTTCGGAAGCTGAGCTAGTTTAGAAAAATAGGAATAAATATAAAAAAGAAAATGAAGAAGACAAGACCTTGAGAGATTTGTTCAGGAATCAGGCGTGCTATATTTATAACTGCGCTATGGTACTGTAGACAGTACTTGGGGAGCAGTAAGTATTTGATACATCTCTGTTCACACTGTTCCTCTGTGGCCATGCTTACTTTCTACTTTTGTCAGTTCTGTCTTATCTGTTTAGAATGTAGAGCATCGTTTAGCTGCGTCGGTACAAGGGTGACTTACTGTTAAGGCCACAGCAAGTAAGTTTTATGGATGACATCCTCCGCAGACTCAATGTCTAATGCGATAGGGCGGAAAAAACAAGGCGGGTCAAGAAAACGGGATTCCTACATTTTCAAATTTTCATATCATGATCCTTGTTAAACAAGAAATGGTACCTTACCAGAGCATTGTCTTGTCTCCTCTCCTCTCGTCCTATTTATCTGCAATCCACGTTCCGGCATTGCAACAGACATCTTCGCCCATATTTTCGGCATGTTGACCATTGTCAGAGGGCAACACATTTCTTTTTTTTTTCCAAAATCAGGCGAAAAATTAATGCACGCGCTGATGGCATTCATAAAAATTACTTGCAGTTGCCCAATGGAGTAGTTTGTGTGCTCTGCCACCTCCCCCCAACCCTAATCGACGCAGATTTGGTGCAAGTACGACTACAGTCTACCCCGATGACTTAGACCGTCCCAACGCAATGATGTTGATGAGCAAATGGGGTACTGAAGGACGCTTTAGCGTCAACTTGGGGGGCGAAAAGCTACTTCGGAGTCGGACAACAACTAGTTCTAACAAAGACTTAAATCTGAACGTGCATATACTCCTTCTGAACTTTGGTCTTTGTTCTCTTTTGTTGTAGTGCTGTTCCCTCAAATGTTTCATACTTTGAGACTTTACTTCGAAACTTGGACCCCACATGTAGCTGTAGATGTTAAATGCATCCAATGCAGTTTTTAGGGATTGCAAGCCTGATTTTTCAAAGCCAACAATCTAGTCATTTATCTACATACTGAGCTAAAACCACACTATCCTTATGTATATTGACCCTCTTGGAGCAAATTCTGACGGAAAGTGGTTATACTGGGCCCTGAGCTAATTTCTAGGGTACCACCCATAAAATAAAGGACTCATCTTGCGGCTTGTTTCTGCAATTTTAAATGCCCAAAGTACGGAATGCTGATTCAAATGTGCTAATGTGAAGCAGTATGTGTCAAATAGATTGCCTCATTTAGGATATTTCCAGTTTTGCTGCCCTGAAATCACATTGGATGCCTTTGATTGCTCTAATGCCAATGCTGTTGCTACCTGATTACTAGTAGAATATGAAATCCCCATTTTTTTAGATTATAGTAATGAGAAGGGAAGACTTTGTGTAGATGTTCCGACAAGGTTTTTATTATACTTATTGAGTTGTATACGTGTGTCACATGACCCACCAAGCACCGACTCCTACTATCTACAAGACACGTACAAACACTAGGGAAGCCTGGAAAGAGCAAGTCAACAAACACAATATCGTCTTTTACGGGAGGGCTACACCCCAAACTACATGTATATATATTCTTCAGTTAGATTTTCTATAATTTGCATCAATTTTGTCTCTCCATTCTATTGTTAAATGTACAATCGCACTCTGCTAAGGTTTCTACATTGCCACGTACCTCAACTAGGTTGTCACAGCTTCCCCTAACCATATAACTTTAAACCTATCATGAAAGTTTATCTGTGTTGGTAGTTACATGTTTAAAGTTAAAACTTAAAGTCAAAGAAGCCACGTGACAAGCTTCACTGGGTCAGTCTACTGAAGAAGACCAGAGTGACTGGTCGAAAGTTCTAGGTGAAAGAACTTTTTGTGTTTGACCAAAAGTTTTAACTTTAAACATGTAACTTTAAGCCTGTTTTAAATTTAAACAAATCTTGGGCATATTACGTATACGATCTACTCTTTGTTTTCGTGGGTAACAACGCTGCAGACTGTCAGTTCCTTTGCTCGAGCACAATTCTCGTACTAGTTTCACCCTTGCTTCATCAAAATGTCCAGGGTATGGTCATGTTTTATCCAAAACCTCAACTTCGCCTGGGCCTCTTCTTCAAACATACAGACCATGGCGTAATAATTATTTTCCTGCACATCTCATTACAAGTGCAGCAGACAACAAGATCACATGTTACCCTCTTCAGGCCATATTGATTTGATCATATGGATGACATCCTCTCGGAATTCCAAAACTGACGCGAGCGTGCGAATAAAAAAAAGTTAGGCAAAAAAAGTTTCCTTCATTATGAAATCTACGTGGTCATAGAGGTCGAACAAACAAACAAGTAAACACACATCGTATGGTATGACGAATAGTAATAGACTCATTTTCATTTCTTCACATTTTCTTCTTTTCCTGAATTGATTTCTATGACATTAATATCGTTTTCCAATACTTTGTTTTTGCAATATACGGCATATATTCGCTCATTTTGTACGATTTACAGTTTGGTCGAAAACTTTTTTTTTTGGAAACGGCCAAAAATTCATGCGCGCGTGGATGCCATCCATATAATCAAATCAACATGGTCTAACTATATGTAACGACACTTAAGTATTGGTGTCTCTCGATCTGGAATTCCCGCAATATCTTTTAAAAATAAAACAGAATATCGTGTACTGAGTGATAATAACAAGACAACCATTGACATCATTCGTCGATGAAGGTTAGACATCCAGGCAATGAGATACTCAAGCAAATATTTGCTCTAGCAACATTTTGAAAATTAGAAGTCGTTTCAAGTAGCATAAACTACAAAATGTACTTTTCCTCTGTGACTAACTGGTATTTATAAGAAAATCTATGAACAATTATTATAATTCATAGTTTTTTTATAAATACCTGTTCAGCTACAGATATATATCTATCCTATTAGCCACTGAGGAAAAGTAGTGACAGTTTTCAAAATCTATCCATTTGCTTGAGTAACTGTTTTCTTGAGCATTCACATCAGTTGAAGACCTTGTCATGCACTAACTATCTCAGAGTGTATGGATCTTCCAACTGGAGGAAAATAAGCAGACCGTTAGTAACGTTAATTATCATATAGCTAAAAGACGTCGACCAATCAGAAGGCTCCTTTTCCCGTAACCTCAAAAGTGGTCGGTTATTAGAATAACCGACCACTTTTTGGATCGTACCATAATACAGGAGACAGAACACTAACGGTAGTGTATTAAAACGTATTTTAGTTTATTTGTAACAATTTAGTTGAAAATACAACACAAAAAATGATAAAAAATGATACTTTAACTGACAAAGACTAAACATAATTTTGTATCCCGAATTCGTGTCAAATAACTGTGTCAGTTGGATAGGCTATCTGCGGCAATAAAGTCCTCCAGTCAGGTGAAACGTTACATCTGCGCCATGTAGAGTCTTCGGCGATGCAAGGCAATCTGTGGTTGGTGGGCTGCTTGGTTGCACTTTCCGTCGGTCGGGTTGTCTCATTTGAATCCCTAGGTAACAATTAGAAACAGTAACTTATTAATAGCTGCAAACACGGTGACATTTGCAAAACAAATGCATAATGTTTACCTCCAATTCATATGGTGTAGCCTAACAAATTACTCCTCTGTTTTTGTCTTCCTCAAAAACATTCATAATCATAGACAAGACCCTCCAGCTCTATCCTGCTACATAATGTAATCCAACACCACAGGGTGTCTGCTACAGCACCAGTTACCATGGTGACAAACGTCTGATCCAGGTCATTGACTTTAAGCGGTCGGAGAAGAAGAAGAATCTATTTAATAGTAAGCAAAACAATGTGTTCCTTCCGGGATGCTGAACATTACTGCATGATTGCCTTGAATCTGTATGTTTCAATAATGATAGTATGACAAATGTTATAACAAGAGTTTAAAAACAGCTTTATGAAAAAAACAGCTTTATGAAAAACAGACAAAAGAAACAACAAAACAAACTAACAGTTTTAGACAATTACCTTTTATTATGTAGATTTTTAAAGTTATTTTGTACTCTGTTCTTTTATCCTTGTTATTTGCAATTCCTGTTACCAAAACCCCAAAACACACAGTCAACCCTCGCAACAACTTACCACCACACATCAAAACACTTTCCAGTCCGTCTACCGTTTAAAAAGTCCATCCACTATTTTTCAACTCTGTAAATGATGTTCAAGTTATCTTGCATTAAAATAACGTATATTTCATTTCACGCCGATATATGTGCGTTGGTGTACCATGTAATATGTCCGTTATATTGTATTTTTGTATTCTGTGTAATCTGAACCATTTATGGTTAGCCATCAGGGTAAAGGGTATCTGAAGAAAGAGAGAAGAAATCTAGCGATGGTATTTATTAAAGATACGACTGTGGTCAAAACAAGTAGCAATACAACTCTAAAACGCTTTCATTGTACAGTTCTTTTCCTATTACACATTCTGCGCGTAGGTCTAATGTGGCCTCATAGGTCAGAAACATATTCCCTTGTTCTCTGGTTATCTTTAGACCCAGTTTGTTGACTACAGTTGGACGAGTCAGCAAATGCACACTATCAGCAGAGGGGGAGGGGGGCGTTACGAAACCCAACAATAATGATGCCAAAGGTCATATCCATTGCTTTTAAAAACGAAGCATGCAAGTCGCACTGTCTACCGGTTCCCTCGGTAATGGGGAGGTTGTTTTGAAGAGTACCAATATAAAACCGAAGTAAGGTGACCAGTTAGGTCAGCAAAAAGACTGGAGATCCCTTGCGATTTTTTTTTACAAAGCAATGTTTCATTCATCGACATCTAACGAGGTCTAATGTTGCAGTTTGCACCTCCCTTTGCTTTGTCTAAATACCATCGTTCCGGAACACTTGACCAGAGTTCACATCCCAAGTCATCATTAGTAATGTGAGGCTTCCTACTTCAAGCAGCTAACTGAAAAGTTTAAAAGTTTGGACAGAATTAGGTTACTTTTAGAGGCACCATGTGAAGTAGATCATCATTGGAAGTCCCATGGGTCCAATTACTCCTACATTCGCTTCATGTGGAGTAGGCCGAAGACTTTCTATTCTTACGTGGTTTGAAAAAGTTTGTGTTGTTCAAACTGCAATCCTAAAATCGGTTTTGAAAAACGACGTAATTCTGTGAAACCTATTATTTCGCGATGGAGGATTGTGTGTGTGACTTTAGGGATGTAGACTCACGTATCATATACATTCTTCAAACATGGCACGAAGATAACATGGCACGTTCTGTGGAATTTTCATAATCTGCCGATTTCAAAAGCAGGCTATTTGGCACAAAATTGGAAGTTAGCTCTGATGCAGACAATCCTGTTTATTCTGTTAGACCTATTACTCAGAAAGGGAAGCTACGGACTGTACATTGTAGACGCTACTTACTAAAGAGCAGTAACACTGAAGCTCGACCCCTTCAAATAATGGGCAATACGTTATGGTTAGGGTATACCATAAACAAATACCATGAACGATGTTCTTACAAATAGAAATACAGACAACATTTAGTACCTGGGATGTGAAAATTGTAAATATATGGAGAATATAAACTTTGTTGTTAATTTATGTCTAAAAACTGTATCTGAAGGGTTTGACTTTTCTTCTGTAAACCATGGAAGTCGTTATGTCCCACCTTTAATAGCTTTCCCACGGGCATCGGCCTGGAACTGCCACCAGTCAGCCACGTCAGCGGGCCCATGGGTCCTTTTGACTGCAGGGGTGGAAGGGAAATAACAATGATTGAAAGACTTTAAGTTTATTTATTGGACAGAACCTTATTGACACAACAAAAGTACAGCGACTGTCGTAAGGTCTTAAACTACATGTAGACATGCAGACAAGTACGTGGGTGCAACAAAATTGACGTACAAAACAATATTTTAATGAACTCATACTACTTGTTCGTCAGAATTTTGGGCAGTTTTGCGCCATGAATGTCGAATCTACATTGGGACAGTGTTGTTTTCAACTTAGTCTGTAGAAAAGTGACTAGAATATTAACTTTGAAACATCTAGTTTCCAACCTTAAAAACTGCACTGGATGTCTTTAATCTACGGAAACTTTAACTGCGAACCTTCATCAGGTCTCCCAGCGGCAGTCTGCCGGCGTTCGTCTGCAGGTTGAGCGCCATCGGCTGCCCGGCCTTGTTACCGGAGCCCATCGGGGTGTTCCAGAACCTTCGCGACTGCATGGGAAGTGTGGTAAATAATAGGCAATCAAAACGTACGTTAGATGCCAATGAGCTGACCTGGCCGAACACCAGCCGACCTTGCTCCCGACCTACTCCTAACCATGGTTGGGTGAAGTTCGGCTAGTGTTCGTGAGGCCAAATTCTGCTGTGTGTGACAGATGCATGCATAGTTTGTAATTGTCTAAACGACGTTTTAGACAGGGAAGTAGTTGTAATGAATATATAGTTAACTAGAAAGGTAACATTTGCAAAGCAAATGCATAATGTTTACCCTCGCATATGGGCTGCTCTGTTAATTCTTACTCAAACACATTCATATATATGGTTAGACAGGAGTATGAATCCCTCCTGCTATAAAATTTCATGATATAACCCAACACTAGTTACCATTGTGATAGACGTCTGGTTCAGGTCATTGACCCCATTGGTTTGAAGAAGAAGAGGAAAAACTGAGCAAAAACAATACGTTTCTTTTCGGTAATCATAAATATATCCATGCCTTTTCCTGGCTTACCTTCCCCAGCACCAGATCCTTCAGGTTGAGCGGCGGAGGACTGCTGTTTGACACCCGCGGGAACCAGTCTAGATCTATGGAGCCCCTCTGCCGAGGAAATGCATCAGCAATGAATGATTAAATGAATGAATACATGAATGAACTAGAAAGGTAACATTTGCAAAGCAAATGCATAATATTTACCTTCGCATAAGGTCTGCTCTGTTAATTCTTGCTCAAACACATTCAGATACATGGTGACAGGAGTATTTCATACTATAGGCATGTAAAACTGCAGAAACAAGGCCCAAGACGAGTCCTTTATTTTCTGGGTGGTACCCTAAAAATCAGTCAAGGGCCCTTCTAGTAACCATTCTCCGTCAGAATTTGTGCTTTAGCAAATGTGTTTTAGTTCCATGAGGGTCAATATACATCGAGATACAGTGTGGTTTCAACCCAGTATGTAGATAAGTAACTAGAATATTGACTTTGAAAAATCGGGTTTCCAAAGTCCTAAAAACTGCACTGGATGCCTTTAAGTTTAACGACCTTTCGTTAGATCAGCAAGTCAAGTTGGTAAATGGACGATCCGTCGGTACGTTTTCATTCCAGTCGCGAGAAGCTAACTGCGAGGGAGTTAATAAAAAGCCTTTGAATTTCCGTCTGAATGCCTTAATCTGTTGATGGAAGACAGGTGCTTGTATCTCAAGTCAACTAAGACTTCCCCAAGCTCTGCAGTGAAGACGTCGCTAAGCACAGCGAGTCCGACATTTCATGATCACACGACATCCACGTAACGGGTTATCGTCTCCATTGGCAATTGTGATGAAGCCTTTGATATTCTTTGGGAAAACGGGCAACCTTTCATGTGAAACGGTGTTCAGGCCTGGGGATGTTTTAAAGACCCCCATTCTTTATTGAGTGTAAGGTTTGATAGAAGATCACGCCACATGCTGAATGTGAGTGGATGTGTTCACCACTGGGAGTGTATGAATGTGCTGACATCTACAGTGCCAGTGAATTAACGATTCCTCAGGATGATTTGGTATGCTAGCGAGATTGCAAACTTGATCTATCACAGTCTTAAAAGGTTGAAGATGTAATCTCGTTACTTCATCTTTTTTAAAAACTTTTAGTCTGGTGTGTTCTATATATAAGGTCATTTAATGGCATTCGAAATAACGGAACGTCACAGTTTCAATTGGTAGTATTATCTTATGTACATGTATCATGTATGTTACTTTGATTTTGTATCAATTTGTAATCTGCATAACTTAATTTGATACATTTGTTAATTTTGGGTTCATTTTGTTAATAGATTATGTTTGGGGTCCCCCCCCCCCAGGAACCATTGAAAAACGCCATTCAGGCGATATGTATTTCCTGGAAAAATAAACAATTTCAACAAAAATGGTGTAAATAGAAAAAATGCTTGGCACAATTACGCCATGTTGACTTGATATTATGGATGACATTCGTTCCCGCATGGATTTTTGTCCGTTTTCAAAAAAAAAGTTTTCGACCATGCTGTAAATCGTACAAAGCAGATGCAAAATTAGCAAATATATGCAGTAGATTGCCAAAAAAAAATTGGAAAACGATACTTATGTTGTAGAATGCTAAAATTAATTCCAAGGGAAAAGAAGAAAACGTGAAGAAATGGAAACGAAGAGTCTATTATTCACCATACCACATTCTGTGCGTTTAGTCATTTGTTCAACCTTCGTGGCCACGTAGATTCCATAATGAAGGAAACTTTTTGCCAAACTTTTTTATTCGCACGCTCGCATCAGTTGTTAGGTTACCCCAGAGGATGGCATCCATATAATGAAATCAACATGGCCCTAGGTACGAACAGAAGAGAAAGAGAACGATATTTATGAGCGGTTGTGTCATTATGGGCCCATGGGGACACTACAACAAATCTTCCTATGTGACTTATGTTGGCAACTATCATATATTTGAGCTACATCTTGGAAGTTGATTTACTCAAAATCAAATCTAAAGCTAATCCCAAATCGATCAATTAGAAACACTCCATAGCTCATCCAAAATAGAGCTATCGAAAACTAGCTAATAATATTAGGATACATTCACGTAGGAAAAAGAAATATATTACCCTAGCTAGAGCATCATTTTTTTCCATGGCTATGCCATGACTAGTAGTGAAAACAGAAACAGATTAGATTTTAGATCTTAATTTTAGATTCGTATTTCAAAATGGTAGTAAATCAAATTACTACCATTGTCAAGTCCGATGCTATTTACGAAGTTTATTTGTTTATTTATTGATTTGCACTCTGAAATAAAATAAAATAATACAATTGGAAAATAAATAGACACGCATGAGAAGGCAGGAAAACCTGGTGGTTTTATCTTTGACCTCCCCAACACTAC